GCAGTGCACAAGAAAAAAAGTTGTTTGTACGGTGGGCTCTTGGTCTATACTGCCTTGCGGTCGCTGATGTAATCAACGGGTTTCAAATCATATTTGGAAAAATGGAAATGGAAGTGTTCACGTGTTAAGTCACTGATCGCATGATATTGGATTTGCTAAAATTTGATTTGACCCGGATTCTCGAACCCAATAAAAATTGATTATAAAACTCCATCAAGATTATAATTAAATTTAAAATTTCTTTTCACGAGGAAAAAGTACCGTATTCGGTTTTTGTTCTTGTATTTTTCAAAGTTTTTGCATAAAATGACATTTCCTTTGGTGAACTGTCCCTCTGTCGCTTCAATTTTAATTCAGCTCATAGCACCTGCTAGACTTGAGACAATGCAAACATATTGATATTGATTTGCTATCATTTGCATACACTCCGCAGTACGTTTTGTGGCTCGCATCCTATGCGGATACAAAAATCATGGCAGTTTCGTTCATTTTCTGACAGAAAAGACGTTGTTCGGATTCCCAACCCAGCGTCGGTTGCATATTTTTCGCATTTCGGTACGATGTCGATTTGAATTTCCGTCGAAATTCCATCCGGAATTATTAAACTATTTAAATGCAAAATCTCACCGAATTCAGCAACTCAAGAGCACTGTGCACGATTCGATTTGTGACGTACGAGAAATGCAATTGCTTCTTTGCATTTCAGATGCGATATGAGCCTCCCATTTGATCACAACAACAATGCCGGAAAATATGGGCCAAAACCGAAGTAAATATTTTCGCTCGGGAACCTGCTTACGCAATATTGAGAATTTGGTTTGAAGCAATGGTAAATGGATTGGCTGGTAAGACATTAGATTCAAAATTCAATGGAAACGTTGTTTGAATTTCATTCCCGATGAAGAAAAAATAAACAGACCGAAGGTAATGAATTCAATATGCATCAAAACCATTTCCGGATTGCGAACCAAATCGAAATTCACCGATAGACTATTCTGTGGGATTCCGGTTATAATTGTAACTCTCTTGCAGTGTTTGCTCCATGTGGATGCATCAGAAGAAATTGATATGCCGGTGGAATGGGAATTCACTTAGACGATTTTTACGTCGATGTGTAGTATATTGGCGAATAATTTGTTGATGGTGGCGGCAACGGTGTATGCAACCTGAGATTTCAACAAGCACTGTGTCGATTGCAACACCACCCAGATAACTTTCGATTGTATTATTCAAGTAGTCTCATTTGTTGATATTTATAACTCGGCCAAACGTGCTCGAGCATAATGTTGTGTACGAAAAATGGATGGAACACAAACA